AAAAGCTGGAGACAAATAAGTAGTGTAGTCCTGGCCTCCAGCACCTGCATCCTTGCAGAACAGGTATTTCCACTTCATCTCTATGCCTAATGATCAGCTTGGACTACACATCTTTGAAACTGCAGAGTAGTTTCTCACAGTGTCTTCATGGATTTCAGGCACATTTGCACACCTTGCAGAGAAGCATGAGTTTGTGGCTGGTCAGTGTACAGCCCCATTACCAACAACTTTAATGATCCTTCTAGCTGCTCATCTAAATGAACTATCAGGCTCAGAGGCCCATGGGCCTCTCCCTTTTGCCTTCTGCGCTCCAGAAAATCTGGAAGGGGTTCCAGTTTTGGTCTCCAGCTTGGCTGTTGCTCCAGCAGCGCACAGTGATGGGAAAGCCTGACTGCTGCATATATTGGAGAGGTGGGGGGCTTTCTCTGTGGACCTCCATGTGGTTATAGAGAAAGATGTCCATTGAAGAAGAAAAGTCTGTTATTCTCACCCAAATGTCTGTGTATACCTGGATGGGGTGATGGTAGTTCCTTTATGGAGCATGTATGCTAGGCTGTACTGGGAGGATAGTACATAATGTTAGCATTCATCAGAACATTTACCCTTCTTTGCACAGACATTTCCAACCCCATATCAAACCCATCCTTTGCTTTTATAGGGTCCCTTCCACAGAAATCACAGAATCATCTAGGTTGGAAAAGACCTTGAAGATCACCTAATCCAAGCATTAACCTAACACTGACAGTTCCCAACTACACCAGATCCCTCAGCGCTATGTCGAACCAACTCTTGAACACCTCCAGGGATGGGGACTGCACCACCTCCCTGGGCAGCCCATTCCAACGCCCAACAACCCCTTCTGGAAAGAAATGCTTCCTAATATCCAGTCTAAACCTTCTCTGGTGCAATTTGAGGCCATTCCCTCTTGTCCTATCGCTTGTTAGTTGGTTAAAGAGACTCATCCCCAGCTCTCTGCACCCTCCATTCAGGGAGCTGTAGAGGGCGATGAGGTCTCCCCTCAGCCTCCTCTTCTCCAGACTAAACACCCCCAGTTCCCTCAGCCGCTCCCCGTACGACCTGTGCTCCAGACCCTGCACCAGCTCCGTTGCCCTTCTCTGGACACGCTCGAGTCATTCAATGTCCTTTTTGTAGTGAGGGACCCAAAACTGAACACAGGAATCGAGGGGCGGCCTCACCAGTGCTGAGTACAGGGCTAAGATCCCTTTCCTGTCCCTGCTGGCCACGCTATTTCTCATACAGTGCTCATATTAATACAGTAAATAACAAAAGACCAGGCAGTACTTGGTCTTGGAAGGTGTACTGCAAAGGAAAAGCATGCAGGAGCATCCAGCGGGAGACGCAGGCCCTCAGGCCCTGGATGCCTGGCTGGTGTACTGCATGAGTCATCACAAATGCCTCCATGGGACATTTGCCTGTAGGGGATCAACCACTGGCTCCTCTAAGACCTTCATGGGATCCCCTCCTCCTAACAGCAGTCTTCCTGGGTTTCCAGGAGGCTGGGACATAAGGCATTTGCACCTTACTGGCTCTATTTCTCTGGGTCCCAGTGTTCAGAAGATGAGGCAATTAGAAAGCAGTGTACTATTTTGGGGTGAAATGGGCAATCCATATCTTGTGTGGTATACTTAAAAGCAAGCAATCTTTGCAAAGTTTTCTTATTGGTATTTTCTCCCTTGAAGAAAAAAATTACATTGAAAATGGGAGAAGAAATATGGCTTTTCTTTTGTACCTGGTATCTCTCTTCATGTAGATCACTATTCACAAACTGTGGACGTGTTACTTGAGTGCCTGTTTTTCTTCCTGATACATTTTTGTAGCTGTGTGATGTAAGCAGTGTTTGTGTCTGTCAGCCCTATGGTTTCCCAGGGTGGAAACATCTACAAAGGCACAAGGAAGCATCTGGATGCATGGTAGGTGTTGTGTGTATGCCTGGGGCTGACAAGGACTAATTGTCACTAGTAGCTTCCTAGAAGCACTTGAGCAAGGTTATGTGAACTGTAAGTTCGGCAAAATGCTAGCTCTGAATAGCTGGAGAGAATGCAAACCAGTCAGAGTGTGTTCTCTTGTGAAATCACCTTCTTTTGAAATACTTGATAAACCATCCTTGAAAGTAGCATATTGGAAATTATCTGCTGGAAAAAGAGATTGAACAGCAGGTCATCCTGTAGGAGTCTTATGATTTGAAATAGATTCCCCAGCTTCTGCAAGAGCCAGATCTCTCTGACTTCTGAACAAACTGTAAAGCCTCCTTTAGGAGGTTAGGAAGAGGGTTAATGTACTGTGGAGGTGCTTTTTCTTGTATTCTCTGGGTAGAGGGGTTCTCTGGTGTCTGAATGCTTGTTACCAGGGAGTCTTTGTTGAAGTGCTGGCTGGACAGAAGGATAATCCTAGTGACTTCAGAGTAAATGTAATGCTTTGTATGTTCAAACACTAAATGTTTTAAACCATTTATTAAGGAAGGTGGAAGAAGAGGAGTGAAGATGGGAAGACTGGTATCAGCAGTAGATTTAAGTTCTAAGGGCTGTTGCTGCCTTTTCTCTAGGAAGCACTCATAACTCTTGCATTTATAACAGGGTTTTGTTGTGCAGCAGGGGAGAATGCACTGGGCTTCAGGGGTGTCTTGTTTGTATCATGCAGCTGTTAATTGCTATTTCTCTTCTCTTTTTTCAGTCCTCATGATAATTTTGGCAACTGCGCAGGAATGCTCCCTTTCGCACACACGCTCAGGATCCCTTGTTTCCAGCCTACCAGCCACAGCAGCTGGACTGCATGAGGTGAAGAAAAAGGATGTGTGAAAGAGGTCTTCCTAAGGCAAAAGGTATAGATCAGAGGTATAGCGTATGCTTTTTACCCCCAAATGTCTGTTGTCTGCCTGCCCTTGGGCACTATTTTGATCTGTCTCACTCCTAGCTCCTGGAAGTAGTCAGAGCTCCATACTGAGCCGCTGTGCTAACAACCAGCCAGCACAGCTAGTTTTGAAGGCTGTCAGTTGTGATGGTAGAGTTTCAAGGCTTCAAATCTTAGTAGTGATGATTCCTGATAATGAAAATGTTGCCTCTGAACTCAGTTGATTATTTTTTACTCTTTTCATTGAAAATAACTGTTTTAAATGGTGAAGTGAAGCACACAAGGAAGGGATTTACAGTCAGGTGCCTCTTATTGGGCATGATGGTGTGAATTTAATGTCATGAGCACGCTTTGTTTTTTCAATAGGACAGTCAAACTGCTGGATAGATGGTCAAGACCTATTTAGGGCTGGGTGATCCTCATGTTTTTACTAATTCAGAGTTAAATAATATTATTTTAAAAGCTTGTTATAAGTACATACTTCTTGGCTATACTGACTCCCAACATGTATTCAGTGCCTTAATTCCTACATGTCATCTTGAGCCAGAAATGTAAGTAGTGGAGAAACATCTATAGATGAAGGAATAGTTCTATGTGTATCAATTGAAAGCTCTGTCATTGCCCATGATTAAAGACAGAAAAATAAATAAGAAGCTGTAAAATAATTCTTCCAGTATGAAATTTAAGAAGTACGATCTCTTCAGTTTTGAAGGTGATTGATGACGTCGAATAAATGCTTACATGTGGGAATGAGAAGTGACAGACTTCTCAGTGTTTTAGACAAAAGCATGATAGCTTGCAGGTGAAGTTTCTATCTGGAAGCTGCAATCTGGTAGATGGGGATTTCCATGTGAGGTAAATTTGCTGGCCTGCCTGCACTATCTATGGACTTAAAATAAGATCAGGCAGCTTTCTAAAAAAAAATTATTTTATTCTGTCCTTTGTAAAAGTCCTTTGACTGCTCTGCGCAAGGAAGCCTGGATGAGCAAATTTGTCTCTTCTTGCACTTGTCTGTAAGTACTGTAACTAAGAATGCTCAGTTTACCCACCACACCTCCACAGGGCTTGCATAACTGTCCATGACTTGAAAGTCTTGGGGCTTTGTATTCCAAATTCATTACATGTAAATAATGTTTCAGAATTCCATGGCACTTCTTTTGGCAAATTACTTCACCAGACACTTCTCATACTTCATATATTGTAATTTTAAATCAGCTTTTAATGATTTTTCATTAATATTCTATAAATTCCAGCAGCTAGCATACACTAGGTTAGTTTTCTTTTTAAAGTCAAAATCTCCATTAGACATGAACAGATGTTAATATCAAAATACAGCTGTAACACCACATTATTCTGTTGAACCAAGAGCAAAATGTTCTTGTTGAGGATTAGTAGTACTTTAGTGTCAACATTATTAGATGGAAGGAAATACTCTTACAGTCAAACTTCATAACCACTTTTCTTCAAACCGTGTTGCTGTTTTCCAAGCATTGGATGCAATGGATTGCAGCACACAGGTTCTATAGCAGTTTCCACATTCAAAGCCTATTATGAAATAGTTTCTAGAACTTAGTAAATAAAACTTCTGACACACTTTTTCATTTGTTTTAGTAGCCAGCCTGGGGTGTTGGAGGATAATTAGGTTTATATTTGGCCTATAGCATTTTGTTCAGGTAAAGCCAATACCAAAAGAGATTGACTTTGAGACATAAGACTATTGTTTAATATCAAAAGAAGTGGTGATTTTAAAAACACTGATCAGAAGAACTCCAGTGATAGATTTTAGACCAATAGATGAATTCAGGTCGCAGATCATAACAAGAAGTCACCCTTTGGTACAGTCATCAGCTGACTTAAGTTAGAGAAAGCCAAAAGGGTCCTATCATGTGCTGCAACTAAGGCCATGTGTACTTGAATTACAAAAACTGTTTCCACGTTAATGCCACTTCCTCCTCTCTCAGTCCTAGCACTCGTGAGTTCCATCTGAAGGATGTCCGAGTAGTGCTTTTTCCAGCTATATTTGTGAATAAATGACAAGTAGGGCATAAACCATGCCAGTTACACTTTTTTTCATCCTGTTCTTTTTGTTGTCAGGCCCCTCAGCACACTCCCCTCTCCTGGGAGTTGTCTGCCTGTGCTCAAGGTTGGTGCTGATATGGTGCCGCTGTGCAACCTTGGTTCAAGTGAATCATGTTCGGGTGAGTTATGCAAGGAAGGGCTGTGAGAAGCAGCTCCTTCCCTCTGGAGCTGCATTGCAGCTCAGACCCCTGCCCTTGTTTGTGCCTGAGCTACTGTTACAGAGGCTCTCAAAAAAACAACCAACCACCAAAAATAAAAAAATTATTATTAATACAGGTAACTAGTTCTCCATAAATTACACGTTGGAATGTCTGTGAGAGGAGAACAGAACAGCTTTCTAGGGTTTAACGGCAACCCAGAACATAGAACAAAGCACCACTCCCCAGGGTTTAACAACCAAAACATTTTACAAAGCCCTGCTACCTAGGGTTTAACGACAACCCCAAATGCTTTATCTCTCACATGACAAGTGAGGGCTCTCAACCTCGAGGACCTGCTCAGGGCAGTGTCCAGACCCAAGACCCCTCGAGGAGTTTCCTTGGGCAGCGTCCCGACCCAAGGGGAGAGTCCCTAACCCTCACCGCACCTGCTGCTCCAGGGGCTGAGCTCCAAATGGCTCCCCCAGGGGACTCCATTTACACCCAGCCCCAATCTGACCTGTAGTCAACAGCGGCTGCCATTGGCCAAAGGCCCCAATTCCCACGAGGCCCTGAGAACAAAGGTAGCCCAAGCTGCTACCCTTCAGCAGCCAAGAAACTCTGCTTTCACTGGGCGGATGCACCTGCCACAGCTACATTACAGCCATGCCCATGTACCCTGTCAATCTGCACCTGACCTCTTGGCATGATCTTTGATCAGCCTCATTACTATGAACTTATCTGGCCATCATGGATCTGGGCTGCCCTGCCTATCCTCACTGGGCCTGATCCTCACCCTGATTTGTTGACTTGATTTTCCTGCTTTACCTTGGACCTGCCTTATTGCTATGGACTTACCTGGTGGATCTGTGGACACTATGAACCCTTGGCTGACCCTGGTTGCTCTCACTGGAGCTGCTCTGCTCATCTTGCTCAAGTACAGTGGGGTAGCACCCTTGGCGATGATGTTACTGCCCATGCTTGCCTTGCTGTCTCCCTCTGGTCTAATCTCCCCTTCCCCAAGATCTGTTGCTATAATTGTTCTCCCAGCATAAGAGTAATGCCTTCACTTCTAGCTTTATTAGTGAGTGTCTATCTTATGAAATAACTCAGTATTTTCCTTTAATGCAGTATCTTCTTTGGCCTGTTATTGAATCCAGGTATATTTCTGAACAATTACAAGCTTAATCAAAAAGCCCAGAGCTTTTTCCTTGATAAATAGCAGGTATGAGCAAATCCGAATCTTTAAATATTTATACATGTAAATAGAATCCTTTGAAGCCTTTGTGACTTCTAGTTGAATTTTTTTAAGGATCAGTCTTCAAGATAGATTCATGCTTCAGAACACATCTGGTGTGGCAGTTTGCTGTTGTAAGCACTCCTTACAACAGATGTAGTTCATTCTACAGTGCAACTGTTTTACTCTGTTTCATCGAATATGGAAAGTTTGGGGATGCATTCCTCATGACTGAATAAAAAGGAATTAATAAATTGTTCTCCTGGCACAGGAAAATGTGAGGACCAACCGCTACCATCTTCAGGCATGGCTTGCTAATAGAAGTTAGCTTATAATGCCTATATGAAGTTGCAGTGTGTTGAGTGACTTATACTAAGTGCAATAAAATGGAAGTCCATAAGGCAAGCAACAGTGCAGAGTCACTATTAAATATTCAGGGATTCAGTGGTACCTGAGCTACCTGTTCAATATGACATCATGAGTGTGATGTTCAGCACTACATTAATAAAACCTCTGTGAATGACAAATTAGCTGGAGTAGAGCTCCATGCTCAGGTGGCTAGGTATACCCTGCTCTAGTTCAGATATATACGCTTGAAGCTGCAGCATGTGGTGCAGACATACTCTTACTTCTTCAGATGCCAGCCACAGATAAGGCTGTTCAGTGCTTCCCATTGTAAATAAGACACAGTTATATCTTCATCAGACTGTAGTTTGCCATTTGTCTCAGTCTGGATTTTTCCTGAAAATGTCAGTAAAATTTTCCAAAGAGTAGATGATGAAATAAACATGTTGATTTGACCATGTCAGTAATCAAATACCCAATTCTTACAGTCTTGGGACTGAGCTATCTCTTGCTTTGGACTTAGGAGATGATGATTCCTTGGTAGAAAAGAGGACTTTAAATCAGCTGTCTATTTTGTGATTTCTAAAAAGAGACATTAAGTAAAACCTTCAAGGAGAAAAAAAAGATTAAGAAAAATAATTCAGTAGAGACTTGTGAGAGATTCTCAACTGCTCAGAAAATGAACCTGATATGAGTATGCCCTGGTCTGGAAGGTTTGGCCTCAAGCAGGCATTTGTATTTCTCCTGAGCAACAGGTCTGCTTTGGTGCTTTTTATAAGCTCATTTTTTTTCTCAGAGTGTTGGCCAAGGTCTCTCTAGAATGGAAAGTTCATCCCTTTCATCAACAAAGAGACTTTAAATCAGTGGTCCCACTCATCAAGATGGCCAATCAGGAAATAAAACTAGAATAGGCTGTTGGTTCTTCATGTTGCATCAGAAAGGGAAAGCTAACAGAGGTTCCCAGAGAATAGCAGTGTAACCACGCAGGCATCTCAGCACTTAGAAGTATCTTCCAGAAGAGTTCCAGCTGGACACCCAATGTAATAGGGAATAGAAGGAGGTCCCATCCCATGGTACCAGTCCACAACATCTTTGCCCTGGGCCTAATGGGTGGTGATCCTAGGCAGCATCAGGAAGAGGCTGACAGTGGCAGATTTCATGGCCATAAACAAGGTAATATTTGTTGGGAAAGAACTTTGCTCATTTGCAGTTTCCCCATACAACAAATCAGTGGTCTATTTTAAAAGGTTTATTTTCTTTCACTAGTAATTCTTTTCCTTTGGGATCTCAATCTTCTCTCTTACCCTAAGTCTCAGATACTTTCTTTGATGTCTGTTGATGAACCCTATTTCCTAACCAGTTATGAGAATATGATGACTAAAAATGGGGGTTTTTGTCCTTTCACATAACATCCAAATAAGTGATGCAGAAATTTCAAATGACAGGCACTGATGCATTAGTACTGCAGAAAGTTCCAGTGTAATTTATAGTGCTATAGTGCCCTGCCTCTCCTCCCTGTTCACTTTTTATGAATGAATTTGAAGAATCAGTGGCTCCAAGCAAGAAGTTATGTGGGCACTGGGCCAGCCTGTATCCTTCACCAATTGCAGCCTTCAGGCACAGGTTGAAACCTCAAGCTAGCAGGGTACTAATAAATGCTTTTCCTGAGGCAAGCTATTAGCTGAGTTGGTGAAGGTTGGTGAAGTTTAGAGAAAGAAGGTTCCAGGTAGAAAGGAACCCCATCCATTCCTCTTGTCTCTGCCTTATAGAAAGGCAGGATTAAGGTACAACTCTAGAGAGCAAGCAGCTGTGTTGTACCTCGCAAAAGGGCCCAACTCACCAGAAGGCTTGGAATGGATCCTGCTGGAGAATCACGTGCAGGTCTGGGTGTGGGGCTAATACGTGGAGGCAGATCTGAAAACCACCCATCTGGACTACATCTTCCTGCAAAGAAAACTAGTAAAGGTCTGTCCTGTGTTTCAGCAGAAGTTCCTCTTAAGAAATGCCAGCCTGGAAGCTCTTTGATACACAGCTTTACCATCAGATTACAAACAAATGTGGTTGGGCTTTTAAAGCAATGTCAATCCCAATAGCAAGAGGGAGCATAGGGAGGGATTGTGCCACAAAAGACTGTTTATTTACTCCTCTTTTTCTTCAAATACATTTGATGTTCAGACTTGTTCGCTTTAAAAGCTACTGCTTGTTGATTGATTTTCCTGACCTAACCCAACCCAGCTGGAATCAGCATCTAAAACATAGATTTCTACCTGCTTACTCACCATGTCTTTTTTTTCCTGTCTCTTTTTCTCTATCTTCACTACTTGAAAGTTTCCAAAAGCCCACAAGACTATTTATTTGTTTGAATCTGACTTTCTCCTACTATACTTCAAGATTTTTGCTTCCTCTGCTCTTTTTATCTTCTTCTATTTCTCTCCTTTTCTTCTCTCTCTTATTTTATGTTGTCTACCACAGTGCTATCAATACTAACTACATTAATTGCCAGTTTTGGAGAGCTGAGTATAAGAATAAAGTGACAACACTTCCTCATTGCCATTGGTCCTGAGCAATAACCACCCCATTGCTCACAGAACTGTACTTTTGATAACAGTGATAACATTCACCAAATTTGTGTTCCTTGAGTAGTTCTTGTTCACTTAGAGATGTTCTGCCTCTTTACTGTTAGTAAAATACAGAAAATTAGAAAAATATAAACCAGTTAAGCTCCCACTTCTCTATTAGGTGTTTTCCTCTGAAAGTTATCATAAGAATTCTACAGCTGCAGAACTGCAACAAGTAAAATGTAAGTTTAGTCCTCTTCAGTGCTGACAGTAAGCACACACAGTTCAGTGGAGTCAAAACATTCACACTTTCTTAGTATGTTTACAGTCTCATGGTCTTGTGAAGAGTATCAGCCTCATTGTACAACTCAAGATGCAATCCTTAAATGTGTTCTGTTATCTCCCCAAGACCTTACATTTAGATACCTCCATGTGAGCTGTTTGGCTGTGTTCCCCTAGGATGTATTCAGGCTACCCGTACTATTGATTAGCCGTAGGTACCTGCCATTTCTGTGTTAACTGCACACTTAGTGTCACCTACATGTGTCACTGTCAGAGCTAGAGGCCGTGAGTATCCTAAACTGCATTGCTAATGTCTTACAGGAAGGCTGAATATACTAAACTATTCTTATTACCTTGTATATTTTATATTAACACATAAAATGTATATTGCTTTATTCTCTATTGACGATACCTTAAGTTGCTTTCTGTAACCTTATATTTATCTCTGTAATTGTTTTCTGCAGTAAATGCTTTAGTATAGGCAGCACGTCCAGTTGGCTACATCAAGGGTGGGTAGTCACATCATCTGCTTTAAGGATGTAAGCAGAAGTGCTGGGGCA